TGGACTCAGTCTTTTGAGTCTTTTTACTCATACTCAATATTCAATCTAAAACTCAATAAGCCTGAGTCAAAAGTTAGTATATAACATAACTGAATAGAAATTGTCAGTTGCTGAAGCATTATCAGTAAAGATGCAAGGAAACAAAATTTAATTAGTAAATATAAAATACAACTAGCTTAGTTTTGTCATCACATCTACAATACTAATATTACTGCATGCACAACAGAATTTTTAAGACAGTTTGAGACTTGATAAAGAAAACCAAAAATAGTTCACACCCACAGACAGCTAACAATTCTGGAGACCTAGAATAAAAATGTACTGGAATTTTTCAATAGTTTGTCTATTGAAAAATTCCAATACATAACAATATTAAATGTTAAGCCCTGTCCCTCATATCTGGCCATCCCATCATTGTGGGCTGACTGAACCCACACGGGCTTACTGAAAATGGTCCTCTTAGTGCCTTCAAAGTGTACTACTAAGAGTTAAAAAGAAAAAAAGAGTCAAATCACAAAAAGAAATTGCATGCTGATGCTGATTCAGAAACAAATAATAATCAAGTAATCTTTCATAGATCCGACAACCAGGGGCTCCCATCAATTAGGACATGTGCCCCTGGTTCTTCAAGGTTGCCCTTTTCTTAATTCCCAAGGGAGCTCTAAGTTTTCATTTTATTTTAAAACAATTTACTTATTTTTATTATAGAAAACTTCTTTACTGACAACAAAATAAAAATAATGAGCAGTTATTTGTGACACTGTCACAATGCTGGGCTGTAATTTTTTTTAATCGTATTTTTAATTTATTCAATTTAAAACATAGGCCTTAATTTTAGCAGTGTCTTGCCCTGTACTACATCACACCTTTCCTGTTAACCATAGTCATGCTGGTCATCTATCTAACTCTGTTTAGGAGGAAATTTTTGAATTGAAATAACATGACTTTCGATGCAAACTGAAAGTTCATATATAGTTATTCGGGACCTCCTGTTCCTAAGCTCTCCATATCTGGTTTTGACCTTCATTTATCTAATACCATTCTTGAGATTAATGAAGGACACAGATAGACAACAGTGAAAATTTATAGGTCTATAACTTTATCAAATTTCAGCCCAAAAATATTTATTAATTTATTCTAGTGGGCCATGATTGTTTGGCCAAGTACTGAGGTACAGTATCACTGTATTTCATTAACACAATTTTGATATACATGGTAGCATTGAGGGATTAATTAACTGTGTTAATCAAGGGATACCTGTATGTATATACAGATATCTTCTTGTGTATGATGCCCTTTTTTATAGTCTGCGGGATCTGCTGCTGGCAACATGTTCTTAAAATATGAGTACACATCATGTTCATTTATTTATTTTATAAAACTTTGAAAGAAAAAGTAGATTGAAGAAAAATATGCCATAAAATCAAATGTTCAGAAATTATTCAAAGTGGTCTCAAAGTTGACAGTAAGATGGTCAAGATTAAGGTATCAGCCTACTGCTATGGGAATCTGGGGCAAAGTCTGGGAAGAGCAATTTCCCTGGAATTTTGTGAGCTGTTTTCCCCAGATAAGTTGGTCCCATCCATCATCACCCAGGTTCAGCTAGACCACAATGAGTAAGAAAGAGTTTAAAAAAAAACCTTTAAATGAAATATTATGCATATTTATAGTAAACTTTATAAATATTTAGTTGCTTTACTTCTACTTGTTTTGTATAAGTGATTCATTTTGTGCACATTTGAAATGTCATTAAAAAAGTATTGTCTCAAACAACAATAATTTGGTAATTATAATTAAAAAGGTGTTTACAAAACATCATCTCTTGTTTGCAGAACAGGATATGAATTTAATATACACACCACTCCACACCAAAATATATGTACAACAAACACAGAACCAACTTCCAGTGCATATAATACAAAAAACAAACAGTACAAAAATGTTATCCAACTCCTTTGAAGTTCTTCTTCAGGTGCAACTGAACAGTTACCCAATGGAACATTATCAGAACTAATGCCTATTTGTAAAAAAATTTTTGAAAACAATGTAATTCAAACTACCATTTGAAAATATAAATTTAATGCTGCATAAGCATGGTCATGCACATAATGATCATTCAACTAATGACTATAATTTTGCCATTCCACCAACACCACCATTTCATGCTTAAAATTTATACTGAATGACTCAAAATTAGCTTTAAAAATTTCTATGGCCTCCAACCATCTGAGATGCTCTGTGTGTCATGTCAGAGGAAAAGTTTGGTTCATTCAGTTGCATCTGAAGAACTCTGAAGTTTGTTTTGTAGTGTAGTGCACCAAAGTTGGTTCTGTGTCTGTGGAGCAGGATATGAATTTTAGTTAGTTAATTGTATTTACTAAATGAATGAAATTTCTTTGTATGGTCTACATAAAAACAAACTACACAAAAATATTTTATTTGGGCTTCATTAAAAAAATATATAGATTTTTTTGTTGTTTTTTGTGTATTGTAGATACCAAAAGTTAATAAATGGAAACAGATATCCAGTGTTTAAACACTGACTCTGACTCAGAAATATGTACTTGACTTGGACTCATTGAGTCTCAAAATACCAAGTTTTACCAAACCCTACTAGAGAATAAACTATTTTTGATTTTTAAATCAATTTTGCATATGTTATGCTTCTAAATTTGGTTCTACTACTACTACTACTACTACTACTACTACTACTACTNCTATCAACCAGGTGTTGTTGTCATTGCTTTCAGACTTTAGCCCTTAAGATTGTCACTGTGGTTTTTTTAATATATTAATCTTTGTATTTAGTAAAATTTATTTAAACAATTTTAGGTAAGTGTTATTAAACTTTTTAAAAATGTAGATAAGCAATCATTTGTAAAATAAAAAAAATACAATGCTATCTCAGTACTCAAATAATTCAGTATTCAAACACAAATTCTGGAAAAAAGCCACTCAGTATTTGACGAAACAAATTTTCAATTAGTAACATATTTTTATTTTTATTTCATCATCCATAAACATTTTTTATGATAAAAATAAAAAATATTGCTGATACTTCTGATCAAGATCAACAAAAAAGTTCAGAAGATGATGATACTTTGTAAAAAGAAAATGCCCTCATTTAACTAAAATTAATATTAATGCATAATACAGTATTTTAAATTGTGATTGTTAATTAATTATTGATTGCTTTAATAAACATATTTCTCAGTAACAAAAAAAGAATAGTATACTTTTGCTAACTTCTGGAACATAACCTCATGTTTTGCATGTCCTTTTTATATAGCATGGATTCACATAATACAACACTTTTTTGGAATGTAACTACTGTGTTATATGAGAGATACCTGTATAAAATGAAGTTTAATCATATGCCATCTGATATAATAGAATAAATTATTTAAATATTGATATGTAATATATTTACTTGTATTCTTTGTAACCCAACTCTTCCTTCAGAAATTCCTTTGACAGCATAAGGTAAAGTTCCAATAGAAAACTGCAAAGCTAAAAATACAGATAATACTGTAAAGGCAAGAGGAGCATTTAATGGATTACCACTTAATGTATGACCTAAAAATGTAGCTACTGTTGCTATTATAACAATGGATGGAGAAATACTGGTGGAAAGGCTTTGTAAAAATGCTGATTTTTGAAGAATTTTCTTTTCTTTCTCACGCACATCTAAAAATAAAATATAATTTACATAAAGTTAATTTATTTTTTTTATGACTGAAATAACGCATAATCAAAATCTTTTATTATTTAATTATATTCTTAAAATAATATTGGATTTAACAAATTTGTTCTCTCTTTAAATTTATATAATCCAGATATTTTTAAATGAAAATTTTATATAATAAAATATATCAGTTAAATAACTGAAAGTAGATAAATTAAACAGTGAGGATTAATTAATATATTTTACTTTATATAATAAACAAATAAAACAATGATTATGATTCAAATTATCTTTGTAAAATACATGAGACAAACAAAAAAATAAAAATTGTAAATGTTAAAAAATCATTTTTTAAAAGCCATCAACAACAGTACTAAAAAACTGTTTATAATTATTAAATATATATAATTCAAAATAATTTGGTATAAATGAAAATATGTAATAAATACTAATAAACATCAAAATTTTTATCACCATTATTATTTCATAACTAAAAATATGAAAATAATAACAAACATATATATTAGCTTTCCATAAAAATTTTACTTGAAGTTAAACTTGATTTAATCCATTTGTTACATACCTGAAAATAGGAAGAATTATATCCAATTCATTTGAAATGGAAAGTATGAAAATAATAGTTATTTACTATTTTAAACATGGACTTACTTTTTGAAATATTTGTTGTTTATTCCAAGTGTTTTTTAAATTGAATGAAGTCTATTCAACTTTCATATGATTATAATTTTTAATACAATATATTAAAAAATTCTAGTTTAAGAAGCTGTAAATCTGGATTATTAATTGTAGTCATATAAGCAGATAATATGAACTGTTTTTATTACCAGATTTTAAACTTTTTAAGCTAGATATGTTCTAAAATTTAATTTCAAACACACAATATTTTTATTTACAAATTACAATATTTCAGAAAATTTAATCTAATAATCATAATAAGAATAAAATGATAAAAGATTGCAATAAGACGTAATAACATAATTTTAATTTATAATTCAATCTCTGTTCTTTCAGGTTTCCAAGTCACTATAAGCAAATGCTGTATGGTTTCTCCCCAATCACTTTGAAGTTTGTCATACAAAATCATATGAAGATAATTTTATTTCCCACCCATCATAATCTCAATACCAAAATAAAGGAAAAAGCTTAATAATAAGAACTATCAATAACAAAAAGAAAGATAAAAAAAAAGACTTGGAAATTGTTAATAAAATGATCAACCTTACAATAAAAACTGATTAAAATAAAGGAATTACTCAAACTGTCATGAATATTTTTCACTGTAAAGTATTCTCACCTTTCGACTGTACCTCATATATGGCATAAGAGGTTTATCTGGTGGCTTTGGAGGTTTAGGAACTCTACTGTCAGCCTAAAGAAATTGAAGATGTCTGATATCAATAAACAATACATATTAAAACCTAAAATTTAATATCAAATAAAATACTATGCTTGAAAGTATTTAAATGTATGTTTATATATATAATTTAAAAAAATATATATATAACTTACAACACTAGATCCTCTTGAACCAAGTCTAACAGGACTAAATGATGGATGGCCATGTGGAGAAGGAACAAAAGGACTACTGTTATTAGAAGGAGGCTGTAATATAAATGAAAAAAATATAGAAAAACAACATTCAAAATTGTTTCATATTTATATTATAGAAATTTATATATACATTTTTAATTAATTAATAAACATAAATTTTACTTTTAACCTTAAAAGTTATTAATAACATTAATAACTTTTTAAAGACATTAATTAATATAAATTAATTAATATCTTTAAAAAGTTATAAGAAAATATTGTAAAACAATTATGGAAATTGAAATAAAATCCTCCATGATATTTATTTTTTATCTTAATTATGCTTTAAATTTAATGAGATCCACTATGTCAGTGTTCCACAACCGGTGTGCCATCATAAGGTGAAAGGTGCGACGTAAACTTTTACATATTCTATTAATTTCAAGTTTTATTTATATAGTTTTATCACAGTTGTTGTGTTTCTTATGCTTGTATTTCATTCACTGATAAAATAAGATGATGTTAAAACAATAAACACATATGTTGTCCCAGTACTCACTTATTATTTTGGAGTTATACATTGGACTCACACAGATCTTGAGCAACTCCAAAGGAAAACAACAACAACACTTACTAAGCATAAACAACATCATCCTAAATCTGCCATAGAAAGATTAACCCTTCCATGTAAAGATGGTGGACGTGGCCTGATTGACATAGTTAACCTTCACTACAGACAAATACAGTCACTGCAAGAGTTTTTCTACAAGAAACAAGAAACATCACAGTTACATAAAGCAGTAACTCTAGCAGACTCAAATAACACACCATTAAGCTTACACTCACATCATACAGACATGACACAACATATAAAAAGCACAGACACCATCAAGCAATCATGGGCTCAAAAGGCACTCCATGGCAGGCATCCTTATGACCTGGTCCAGGATTTTGTTGACAAAACTCATCAAATAGCTGGTTAGCTCAAGGATGTCTCTTTGGGGAGACGGAAGGATTCATGATTGCCATACAGGATCAGGTCATAAATACTAATATATACTGAAAACACATACTCAAAGATACAACACTCACAAATGACACATGCAAAAAATGTCACATCATGCCAGAAATTATATAACACATTACATCTGGGTGCAAGCTCTTGGCACAGACAGATTATTTACACAGACATAATCAAGTAGCAAATATAATACACCAAGAGCTTGCAAAGTAACACAAATTATTAGACATCCACGAACCATACTACAAATACATCCCACAGACAGTATTGGAAAACAACATGCACAAAATGTACTACTATGCCATAATGACTGAGCGCCATCTAGGTCGCGAACTTGGTAAGCTGTGTGTGTATGTGCTCCAGTTTTAGATTGCTCCATTGCCGTCATTTTTCATCAATATATGGATTAATATATATCGTTGGATTACGTTCTTCATCAGCATTCGTTTGGTGTCAGTTTTTTCCGGATCGGTGAAGCGGATCAGAAGTTACGCCACCCAGAAATTCCAGATCTTCCGGCAACTTTTTCCGGGCTGTCTCCGCTGGTAAGCGGACTTCCAGCATATCATTTTTATCGGATTTTAATGAACCTTAAAATGACGTCATCCGTTTTTATCTGCTACAACTGGTCCTTGTTTTTTCGTGGTCAACATGTTTTTTACCTCGGGTCGTCGTGCGGGCCTATCGGGCCGCAGAAGTGAACAATCTTCGGGTGTTACCTTTATCACGTTGCCCTCCATCTATCCTGTAAATTTGGACTCGATCGGTGATTTAGTTTTTGAAATATAATTATATTAACTTTGGTGCTGCACAAAGGATCCAGAGGCACGTGGCCGGGTCAGTTACCCTACCTGATCCTAATTCGGGTGCTTTTTCGTCCGTTTTCGGGTCGCGTTTTTCGTGCACCCAAGTGTATTATATCATTCGCTTTATTAATTTCGCCTGTTCTTGGCATATTGTGTCTGTGTTGTGATTGTCATCGCAGAGGTCACGGATTGTGCTTTGTCCAACAACAGTTTTGCTGAGGAGGACCTGATCGCTAACATTAACTCGCAACTTGGGATTATCCTTAATAACATCCCTGCTAATTCAAACATCTCTGTGAAGTCCAAGGAACAAGTCCAAGGTGCCGTTAAAGAGGCGGCTATCAAAATGCATTCGGCGGCGAACCAGATCTTTGGTCTGGTTCTCAAATTAAGGGAGCGCGTCAAAGCTCTTACTAAAAACGATGGAAAACCTAGTATAGGTACCTATGCTGAGGTTACTAAACGTTATCGTAGCCCTATAAGTAACACCACTAAACTGATAGCCAAAAAATCTGCGGCTTTAGAAGGTATTAAAAATCCGAAGTATAATAATCACGAGATTATCATCTCTGCTATTAAAAACCCTAATGAGCCAGTTCCTACTCCGGAGGAAACCCTAGAGCTTTTACAAAGTCATGTGGACCCCAAACAATTGGGGATAAAAATCAAAACTATAAGACCCCTCTCTGAGGGAGATATCAAGATCCAGGTCCTGGAGGATAATGACCTGCAAGCCTTAAAAAAAGCGGTGCAATTGGAAGAGGCTCTTAGTGACAAAATAAAACTTATTGAAAAGAAGAAGAAATCCCCAAAGATTATCTTATTTAATGTCCCAACCAATTCGGAGGAGGCAGACCTAATAAAAGACATATATAATCAGAATGCCAAGATTCAAGAGGGAATCAGTGAACAGGAGTTCATTGACACAACTAAGGTTTCTCATAGTTTCCACCCAAAAGGCGGGAACCAACGGACCCACACGGTCTTGAGTGTGAGACCAGATATCCGGAACATCTTAATGCAGCAAGGAAGAATTTATTTGGGGTGGAGCTCGATTGTAATTGACGATTATATAGACATCATTAGATGCTATAACTGTACAGGCTTTGGGCACACTTCATACAGGTGTATAGAGAAACAACGGTGTACCCATTGTGCAAAAAAACACAAGTTTAAAGAGTGCCCCAATCTGAAAAAAGACCCCATATGTTCAAATTGCAGGAATTATAATAAAACGGTACCGGAAAGTAAAGCTCTTGCAACTGATCATAATGCTTTCAATAAAGGCTGCCCGATTTTACAACGCTACAAAGCAAACCAAATCAGAACTATACACTATGAGTAATGCTGACAGCCGTCCAAACAACCAGTTCCGGTCTTAATCACCCACCCATGGAAGACAACCATTATGGCAGTAACATGAATAATCTCAGAATCTTACAAATTAATCCATCATAAATGTGGTTACCATTCTTACCTAACTTATATTTATGGCGCGTCAGTTTTACCCATATTCAGAAATGAATCAAAAGTGATTAATGCGGTGCAGTGGAAAATATGAATATTTTAAATATAATTATTAAAATTGTGATATCTCATTTCAAATTGGTGCTAGAATCAATCTGTTTTTGTTTTCTGTCACAAATATAACACAGTTTACAACTGTTAAATTTCAAATAAAATAAAAATTAAAAATAATAATTTAATTTTAAATTTACGAAAAAAAGAATGTAAAAATAAAAGTAAATAAAAAGTTCCAATTAATTTACTACTTAAATAACCTAAATATATCTGTTTTCTTTCAAACAAAAGAAACCGCAGCTTTCTAGCTACACGGAATCATTTTACAACCCTCTTTGTTGACAAGTTTATGGCTTGACGCGGTTTGTAATAATTATTAAATCCAAAATATTTTAATGCAAATGGCTTCCTTTTAGTCGTAATGACTCTATTCCAACTACAGTATTAATTTTCTTGGTCCAACTTAATAATAATAAATTTGATGTGAAAAATTTTTTTTCTATTCTTTGTCTATGGAGAGATATTGTTGTAAATTATTGGTTTTATAGCTTTTTGTACATTCCTTTTTGAACTCTGGTTAGTTTTTTCTAGTTTGAATGACATTAGGTTGACGAATAAGTGTCTTTTCAGAAAAGATTGATTCAAATTCGACTATACCAATCAGAATCTAGAATGTAAACAAATGCTAAAAAATCGTTATTTTCATGGTTTTTCAGTGCTATTTTCACTTATTTTTGTTATTTGACACTATTTAGACGAATAAGCAAGTTTTCCGAAGCATAAAATTGAAGATTTCCCGCCAAAATAGAAACTTCCTAATAACATCAGAAATGACGTTCTAACATCATTTTATTCTATTTGATTCTTCAAAAAAAAAAATTTTATTCTATTTGATTCTTTTATTTGTTATAATACTATGTATTAGACTTAAAATATTCCATATCTAAACCAGAAAGTGTTAGCTAGAAATAGACTTATTTATAGAACAACTCCCCATTTCTCACTTCAGGGAAAGTTATAAAACAGTTGGGTGCTAATGATTTTGTGAAAGGGAAAAGTTCTACACTTAGAAACTTGGAAAGAAGGGATTTGGCCTGTACCCTCTGGCGGGCCGCATAAACATTGATAAGGGGCCGTATGTGGCCCGCGGGCCGCAGGTTGTGCACCCCTGCATTACTTGTCGGTTTTTACTCTGTTTTATGCTTTTCAGAAATAATACATATTTACTGGCAAATGTAAGTGTTCATAGATACTCTAAAAATGATTAACTGTATATTTTTATAAAAAACATGTTAAACCACAATGTTTTATAAAATTTCCATGTTATAAAGAATGATTATACACCTATGTGATAAAAATATAGAAACACAAATTTAAGATGTACCATTATATAATATGCAAGTTTTTATGATATTGTATTTTTTCTGTCCTTTTTAACATCATATTTACCAATGTCATAAACCTTACTCTGTTTTGTATTTTTAACAGCACTGAAGAGGGGTTGGGAACACAAACTAACCCGAAATGCATTTGAATAATTAAAAATATTTTTATAAAATAAACCGTAATTTTTTCTAACCAATTGCTGTTTGGTTGTCTACCAAGAACCTTTTCTCTGGATTACAAGGACACTACACACAGAATTCTTTTTACTTTTTTAACAGCAGCTCGAGAGTAATCAATAACAAAAGTTTAGTTATCGCATGTGGCTACTGAAACCGAAACAAAATGCATGGCTCAGAACAACATTTTCACAGTTGATTAAATGCCAATCATATGGTTCCGATAGAAACTGGTTTTTATCATATTCGTTAGCTTAACAATACAACTCAGAATAGTCGCCAGGTATGTGGAAGGGCAACCAGAGTGTGAATCATCCTCAATATCTTCTCGACCATCTTGAAAACACTTAAACCACTCAAAAACAAGTGCACACGATAAACATTCATTGCCATACACTTCTTTCAATAAATTATAAGTTTCAGTAGCAGTTTTTCCGAGTTTCATGTGAAATTTCACAACAATTCGTTGCTCTATTGTTACACTTAACATTTTCCTGATGAAACAAAAACAACTCTAATGCAAACTAAGACTACGGCTATACAGATTTGTTTACAAAAGCAAGAGGTACTGCATTTGAAAGATAAGGCTTCCCGCTAAACAGCTGTCAGTCATTGGCATTTGACGCATGCATACTTCTCTGTTAAAGAAGACTGTTCGTCTTCTTTAACAGAGATGACCTTTTATTGTAGGCTACAACTCTTACAATATGCAAAACAGTTAAAAATGTTCACTGATAAGCCACAAAGAAAACTTGTAAAAGTTGTATATGTAATTTAAAAATGGCAGACTGTATATTTACAATATATATAAAATACAGAAGATATAAAAATATCTTTATTTCTGCCCCTTTCCAACTGTCATTTTTAAATTACATATACAATTTTTACAAGTTTTTTATGGCTTATCATCACTGAATATTTTTAACTGTTTTGCATATCGTGGCAGTCATAGCCTACAATAAAAGGTCATCTCTGCTAAAGAAGACTGTTAGTTCCTGGTGTTGAAAACAGAAGGAATGAAGATGTTTTTGTATCTTCTGTATTTTATTTATAAGTTTACTATAATTTATTTATTTTTTATATGTAGACATATATGCATCTATGGAATAGACTGTACTTGGTTTTGAGAATTTGAGAAAGTATTTCTGCATGGAAAATACATTGCCTTTCTAATGCAATATGCTGGAATCTCTAAAAAGGTTATAATAAGCTTAATAACAAAATAAAATATTTTATTTTAAATTTTAATAATTCAATAATTTCAAAAAATCTATTTTCTAAGTAACTATCTTAACTAACTAAAAATTTGAGTTTGCAAAATGAATACAAGTAATACATTAGATAAACCTTTCCAACAATTTAAATCATTTAAGAAATGATTTTGTTAGTCAATGATATTTCATATATGTGTAATTTTTAGCTGGGCCCCCACAGGAACAGATACTGAATCACCTATATAATAGATGTATACCTATACTCAAGTACTAGAGATTCAAAAATGGGTACCTGACCTTCAACACAAATCTTTACAATATTCACGTGGTAAATAAATGAATAATAAAAGTACATTTCATTTCATATCACTTTTAAAATGAAAGTTTTAAACCAATATTAACCCTCAGTTATTGATAAACAACAATCACATTAATTCCCATTTTAATAAAATACCTGTTTATCGTATTCCATCAAAGCAGGAATTGAGACAATTTTTAATAATGAAAATTTTTTTTAACAAATCACTTTAGAATAACAATTTTTTTTTATGTCTGTTATATCTTTTATATTTTGTAATCATTTTATTGGAGATATTTTTTTTTGTTATTAGGGTGGAATACAATCGTCTCTGACGTTTCCAATTAAATGTAAATAAATAAATAATGTAACATATTAAGTTTCTTACTTGTGGTTGTGATGATGATGACATTGCAGCAGTTTGTGTTCTTGGTCTCTCTGAAATTATAAAAATATTTTTAAATTTTTAAAGTATGTTCTTACATTTAAATATACTAAATTCAAATGATCACAGTATATTAATAAAATAATCTTATAATACATTTCATTAATATTCTTGATGTATTTTCAATCAAGAAAATTACAGAATATCATAAAATTTCATCAAAACATTCTCATATTAAATTCAATGGAAAATCAATTAGAAGTATAACAACATATATAAATGAATTATTATGCTTTTTTGTCCTTTTTAACTATTTATAATTTATTTTGTATACTAGTACTTTCTATATATTAACAGGACTTATTATACTGGAAAATTATGGATGCAGATATCTAGTCTTATAGTTCAAAATAATGTTCTTTATTTAGTTCACCTGCAGGTGAACTAAATAAAGAACATTATTTTGAACTCCGTGTTTCCCCGAAAATAAGACAGTGTCTTATATTAATTTTTGCTCTGAAAAATGCGCTAGGTCTTATTTTCAGGGAATGTCTTATTTTTTCCAGGAAGAAGAATTCACATTTATTATTGAACAAACAAATTCTCAAGTTGAACTTAGACGAGAGTGATGTATATCCGGCGTGTCGAACTGTCACCTTTTTATAGCGTCAACATCTGACTCGATGACCAATTAGTGCNCAAAACCAATAACTGGTGTGAAAAATTCAAACTCGAGATTGAAATTGAGCAAGAAAGTGATACGCTCATACACTTTCTGGATTTATTTATACAACTTGATAGCAAAGGGGATTTTCGCACTAAAGTCTATAGAAAGCCTACGTACAATCCGATATTTATCCCATGGAATTCACACGACCCGTCAACATATAAACTAGCCGCATTCCAGGCGCTCATCGCACGAGCTTCTTATATTTCGCAATTCAGCAAAATCTGTGCTAGGTCTTATTTTCTGTGGATGTCTTATTTTCGGGGAAACACGGTATACAAAATAAATTATAAAAACATATATAAATATTTAGGTATGTCCACAATATAACCATAGAGCATAGACATATTTTAATAATTTAGAAGGTTCTGGAAGAAAAGAATTGATCTGAAGCTTTGGGCTTACCATGAGATTGCTTTGCCAATTATGTTACCTTGACCTTTGTCTGATACTCACTTCCAGAACCTTCTAAATTAATTATTAAACTATTACTTTAATTATAATTGTTAAATTTAACAAGAGATAGCACCTAACACCTGCCTCCAGTGCCAAATTACTTAGCATTTAATTAACAATAATAATAGTAATATAGCTCAATATAATTTGGCAACTATTTGGCTTTAATATATAACTATTGGGTTTAGATGTTTATATTTTTATGTTCAGTATATACATAAAAATAAAAATATAAAAACTTGCTTTAACCTCAGGCCAATCAGGAAAAACACTATCTTCCTAACCTACAGATAGCTTTGGCAAGTTTCTTTATTCATTAAAGTACATGCAGTTTGTTGTTAGTGCATAGTTTTTGAATTTACATATGTATTGTTCTTTCTTTCATCTCTTCTGATTTTTTCTATTATTCTGAATATTTTGATTTTTCTGTAATTCAAGGTAGTCTCGGCCCATCCACTTTGAATTATCAAAACTGTACCGTTCTTGTTTTGCTAGAAATGAATTTTATTTGTATAATTTTAAAATATCACCCTTTATTGCTTTTGATAATTCTTGTAATATGAAACTTTATACATAGTAAGGTCCAAAAGTTTCTGGCCTGACCATAATTTACAGAAAAAAATAAATTTAAAAAATATTTTTTAATGTAGTCTCCTTGTATGTTGATACATTTCTTAAGAGTTTTATTAACAGTTCTTTACATTTGCAAAATAGTCCAAATCCTTCTGTTCAAAATGTACCATCACTACAGACTGCACTTCATTAGTCTTGAATTTTTTCCCTGCAAATCCGATTTCAATTTTGAGAACAAATAATCATTTGGATCTAGACCAAGGTGATAATGTAGATAATTTAATTCCTTGAAGTAACATTTTTGAATAAAAACCTTTACAAGAACTGATATGTGCATTGATTCATGTTGTGTAATAGCAACACAACTCGCAACCTTTTTAATAGCATTCCACAATTGACGCATTAAACAAGCACAATATTCTTTAGTGAAGGAGGTACTTATTTCTTTGTCAGAATGATCCACTTAGATTCCCAAAAAATCATTACTATGATTTTCTTTTGAGATTGTGTCACATTTGCTTTCTTGAGCCTTGAAAAATCAGGATGAAATCATTCTATTGATTCCCTTTCTTAGAATGTATCATGATAAAGAACTATAGTTTCATCCTCAGGAGCAAATGATTCAATAACTTCTTTCTCCCAGTCTTCACAAAGGCATAAAAATTAACATCTCACTATTCCTTTTGAACTAAAGAAGGAAGTTTCAGCACTTGCAATGACCTTCATATCAAGATGTTCCAATACAATCCTAAGCATTGTGATTTTTCACACAGCACATCTTGCTGCTAATTCCTTTGTCTTTAGCTGTCTTTCAAAAAGTTCTTTCTTCACAATATTGATGTTTCCTTTAGTAGATCCTTCCTTGGCATGGTTTACCTTCAATGGACTCTCTTCATAATCAGAATTGATTTGCCAATTATTCTACAGTAGAATATAATGAAAAGTCCCCATAAACAGCATGAAGGTGCTCTGATAGGCATTTTTCCTGCTTTCTTGAAAATTTAATTACAGCAAAATTTTAAGAACTTCAAAATTCCTTCTAAGCATATTAAACTGATAATATCTCAGTAATGAGTTAATGGATTTCAACTAAATTTTTATTTGAATTTATTAACAGATCAAATTATCAACCAATAAAATAATGTCATCCAGTACTTAAAAATGGGATGAGTCAAACTTTTCCACCACAGTGGGATAAAGTTAATAACATACACAAAACCAATAACTGGTGTGAAAAAATAAAACTCGAGATTGAAATTGAGCAAGAAAGTGATACGCTCATACACTTTCTGGATTTATTTATACAACTTGATAGCAAAGGGGATTTTCGCACTAAAGTCTATAGAAAGCCTACGTACAATCCGATATTTATCCCATGGAATTCACACGACCCGTCAACATATAAACTAGCCGCATTCCAGGCACTCATCGCACGAGCTTACTCATACTGCAGCAGTACCCAAGACAGAAGTGAAGAGCTGTGTTACATCAATAAACTAGCCAAGAGGGATGGGGTTAATATCAAAGCTATTACTAGTCAAATTAATACACGTGGCAAAGTGCAAAATTTACAAAATACAGAAGAGTTTACAATGATGAAGTATAAGGCCTCGCTGAGCAACATCTATAGGCAAATAGGAGCCGCTACAAAGAAAAGAATAATTTACAAAAGGAATCCTACTATTTATCAATTGCTAAGGGCAGACAAAGATGACGTGGACAAGCGCTTCCAGGGGTCTACAGTATCCCTGTTACAGACATGCGGAGGCAGAATATGATGTTCTACATCAGAGCTACCGGAAGATCCCTCAAAGAAAAGCTGTCAGAATATCAGAGAAACATAAGAAGCGGACAGCCATGCACAGCGCTGGCGACTTACGTCTTAGCTGACCTTCAAGAGGTCAAAGCTGATTGGACCGAGCTAGATTGATACAAATAGTTCGAGACAAAAAGCACCTCCAGTATGCTGAAGCCTGGCATATCTGCAAAACCAGCCAAAAAGGATTAGCTATCAACTTCCGAGATGCAAGCAAATTATCAGCAGCCTGGCAAGCAAGTATATTATAAGCGGCAAGAACAATGGCAAAGCAGCAACTTACTTAAGGACTCTTAAACTAATGTATTTGTGCGTCACATTGTTTATGTTTGGCATGTTATGTATGTTGGTATTTTTATTTTATGTTATCTTATATCTTGAACGTCATACTTTTTAACGTTCTAACAGCCACTGTGGTTACATAATGACAGCCTTTATGTAGAGATTGCGCTCTTCGTTCCTGTAAAATATCCTTTTAATTAAAAACGTTCCAAAACGCTTGTATTGTTAACTCAAATTTTAGAGTTAGCTTTCAATTAGGAGTTCGATTTTTCTTTTTTCATTTATTCTTGAAAAAGGTCATTGAATATGATCGAAAACGTTAGAATGTAATAAATATGGCTACATATTTAAAAGGTTTTCTTGTGTGTGTACATATTTAATTTTAATGATCACTGTAATGGTTAATATTGTGTAATAGAGCAGTTTGTTTCAGCCATTTTTATATAACATATACGTCAACCAGAAACACACTAGTATTATCAAACAATCTGGCAAATTATACTGAGCTTTATTAAGGGTAATTAATAATGGCAGCATAATAGCATGAAGTTCTCTGTAGACAGAGAAGTTCATGCTACCGAATTTATTCCTTATTCTTGTTATTGGAATAACACAACTTTAACGACAAAGGAAAATTGGTTGATTAAGGTTATAAAGCTGAGTGGTCAGAACAAAGCAATTTGACTAGAGGTAAGTGGTTAAGACACCATCACCTGAATTTAATAATTACAAGTAAATTAAATTTTTATATATAAACATATCAAAGTTGATATTTTATAATGAAACAAACTGATTGCCAGAGTTAAACTAGGCTACTTTCCAACAACTATACTTTACTGTTATGGGTTCACATCCCACTCCAGGCAGACTCTTCTTTCAGAATATTCTAAATCTATATAAATAAAAATGTAATGACCTTTTGTTCCTAATAGCTAATCTCCGAAAGTTCTTCACTGATTGCTTTGAAATTTTCACACAACGTTCCATTCGAATATGGGCGTGTTTTTATATAATATATATGTTAAAATTTCTTTCCCCCGCGAGTTAATAATAAAAACAGTTTTTTTATGCAATCTCATAACAGATGGTGCCACATACAATTTTAACTTACTACTAGTGTGTCTTAGTTTTTCTTAAACAAATATTTTTCACCTAGAAAAGTATGAAATATTTAGTTAAAAAGTTTGAAAGTTCGTTCG